CACTTCACCTTTATGCGTGTTAACAGGATATGTCCACATTCTATGCAAGGTTGATACTGCACCTGCGATACGATTAACCCGCGCCTGTTCGACAAATACGTTTTTATGCAGTAAAGTTCTGTGTAGCATGTTCCAGATCAACTCATTTGTTCCGCGTACACACGTTGATAAACGACCACGCACCTGTTCTGCATAAATCACTCGCATCACGACAGAAATTTACATTCATTTTCCATTCTGATCGTGAACAGGCTGCGAATATGTTCGAAAGTCCGGTGAAACGGCGGCAGGCGCAGAGGCACGCCCCCCCCCCCTGGGGGGGATCTGTTAAAAGTGTCTGAAAAGGCTTGTGCGTGTGAGCCGCGTGTGTGTATGCATCACTAAACGCAAAAGCAAGTACAGTTTTCATATACCTGTTTGCTGCACCTCCCCCCAGCCCCGCCAACAGACATCCCGAGGGCGTGCCCAGGTGCACTGCATCTGGACTTTCTGAGATTCTATCTATATACCACGCGAATAAGATGCATTGCATCATGACAGATCTCCCTGATTGTCGGATTCATCCTCTCACATTGTGTTGTACTGCCGTTGGTTAACACCGCCATAGGTTTCAGTATGGCACATTGGTGGAGTTTCTTTTTATGGGGCATCTGTGTTCACAGTTCTCATTTGGTTCTATCCAACCATTAAAGGATCCAGAGTCAAAATGTTTTGAGTTTGACCTGTGAAGCGGTCTATTAGTGAACATGCTTCAATGCATCTTGGAGATGCTGCCGTTCCTTTACATCGCGGTTATTTTTGCATGAAAGCATCCGGGGATTGGTCAGATCAGGTCAGGTCAGGTTGCACAGAACGGTTAAGGCTTTCGCCAACCACGCGTCCAGATTCTTGCTCCGGCCGGAACCAACGTTCTTCTGGAGCTTCGACTTCTTATCAGCTGTTTCACTGCAGGCGATTTCTTCGTCCAGGACAGCCTCCCTTTTCGAGTCTATAGCATCTGCAAAGGGAGTTTATTCGAAAATAGGAAGCATGGAAAGCCTACTATCAATAGTAAACACCCTACAAAATTTCTGGATAGAGGCTGGTCCAGACCCCATCCAGCTGTCTTTTGGATTTGATTTTTCGGTGAATTTCGTCATGTGCAGAGCGAGGGACGTGTGACGGTGATACGTTTTTGTGTTTTGTAGATTAGATTTTATCTTTCATTCATGCGCTTACTAAATCCACAATTGTACGCAAAATCAAGTCTCTGTAGCTAGTATGTTTACCCTGACATCAGGAGCGCTCAACACT